TCCATTATAATCCGACGTTAGACGCCGTTTAGGGAGACAGACATCCGCGAACATAAAGCAGGATTTTGACCAGGCCGCGGTTGTATCGATCAAATCTTCACTCTGCGTCATGTCCTCGAGCCACACGCACTGTCGACCAACGATTGTCGTGTTCCCTGACCTAAAAGTAGTTTTCGACTCAGTTGATCGTGAACCCCTTATGAGTTCACTCCTTCACAAAGGATGTCACAGAAGTATGTTAAAATACCAAGTTCACTTTACTCACGTATTTCTGGTTGCGTAAGGGTCTACGGCGAGCTTAGTAGGTCGTTCGTAACAAACAGCGGTGTTCGTCAAGGGTGCCCTCTTTCGCCATTCCTGTTCAATTTCGTCATAGACGAAATACTGGAGAACACACTAAGTGAACTCCAAAATGTAGGTGTTGAATGGGCAGCTGGAGAATAGCTGTGCGATTTGGAGAACGCTGACGACATCGTTTGCTTGTTCGAATGCATGGAGGATGCACAAAGAGCATTTGACAGATGATCTAGTTCTGTCGCTCCGTTCGGCATGTGCTTTGCACCTTGAAAATGCAAAGTGATGCTACAAGACTGGGTGTCGCCGAGTTCAGTTTTGAAACTAGACGGTCAGGAACTAGCTGAAGTTGACTGCTTCTCGTACTTGGGTAGTTGCGTGACAAACGGGGCTAGCGCATCGAAGGTGATAACCGTTCACATTTCCAAGTCTCGAGCAGCGTAAGCAGGACTAAAACACCTGTGGTGGCGACGTGACATTTCACTGAAGTTGAAAAGTTGCGTATACTGCGCCACTGTACAAACGGTTGCGACCTTATGAGACCGATAGGAGGTTAGTGAAATACGACTTTCTGTTGACAAAGCCGTGTTGTTGGTCAGCTTTGTGGTGTTGGTCGTCCAAATATTCCACCAATCTCTCCCTAAGGAGACGCTCGGAGGTTTTCAGGACTACCAAAAGCAAGCTTATTGAGCGATATTTCGATGCAACCGTTCTTGACCCACCCTTTTGAACTGGCACCACTTCTACCGTGGTCTAGTCGGCCGGCAGCGTTGCTGAGGCCAGGAATCGGTTGAAAAACTGAGCCAGCGCACCTGCGATGATGTCAGCAATGGGTAGCAGAATTTGTGGATGCAGCCCATCCAGGTCCGCGGCCTTGTTTTCATCTAACTGTTTCAGTGCTGCTTCTACCTCGTTTGTTTCTAAGACAAACAGAGCCATGTGCTGCTCGGGGAGCCTACTCAGTAGGTCAGGCAACGGCTTTCCTAAGTCCGGCAGGTGGACCTTCTCGAAGAAGCTCTTTAGAACTTCAGCCTTCTCCTTGCTAGTGGCCGCAGTAACATCATCTGCATTTACTACATTACCGACCGCTACCCGAGAGTGGGCCTTAGAGTGCACATGGTTTCAGTAGGCTCTTGGTCGCTGTGTGGCATTGCGAGCAAGCCTAATCTTATATTCCCCTTGGAATTACCTCCTAAGTGTCCTTTCTCTCGCCGCCCGATAATGCAGGCACTGTCTATAGCCATCCCTGCTCCTGACGTAGGTCCATGCCTTACGATTTATGGCTTGTGCCCTGATTACCATTTTCCCCCCTCATCTGACCCCTCGTAGGGAAGCGAAAACGTCCGTGAGCCGGATGATACTGTCCTTGAATGTCTGCCACTCTTGATCCAAGGAGAGGATGCGTCTGTTGGCCAGTGGATT